GCCCGCCTCGGCCTATAGTTTTTTCTCATAGGGTCACTGTGAGTAGTAAATTAGAAAATATATGGAACAAACTTAGGACATTGATAAGAATGTAGCAAGTGTTCAACAAATATTAGCTATTACTCTGCCCTAGGTATGGAATATGAGCATTAATTTTTTTTAGTTTAGTAATACCCACCTACTAGGTTCCTTGTTGCATCCGGATTGTATGTATATTATCACACGATTTGCCTGGATTTTATGTATGTTATTGCATGTTATTTGCTTATTTAAGTACTTATTAATCAGAAGAATATTACGAAAATACTCTACTGCATTGAAGAAACGTAATGTTTAACTGTACTCAGGTAAGCACAAGCCTTCATAAACACAGGATTTATTGTGTGTCTCTCAGTAAGAGGTAGCTAACTTCTTATGGCTAAATATCATTTCCTTTCCATACTTAAGCCTGATTGCTATACTTTTCAAATTTATCAAAAGGCCTGCACTAAACATAATGATAATTTTAACTTCTTGAAACGTAATCCCTAAAAAATTATCTATGTGTAAAATTTGTTATAATTATAATAAATAAAGCTGAAAATGAAAACTTTAGTGAAAATGTTGAAAGAAGAGTTCAAAATTGCACCCAGATAATATGCAATGTTTACTCAAGAACACACATAAAATATTTAAGCTCCAAAGAGTAGCTATTCTGCAAGTTATAAACCAGTATACACATATTAAAAAAGTCTGCTTATAACCATAACAACAGGCTTTGGGATGTCTTTTATAATTAAATAAAAATAGAACTTTAAAATTAATTAAATAGAACTCTTTTAGCTTTTACCTTTTTTTAATTCAGATAATAAATGTAGAGAAGCTTCTTCTACCTGCAATTATTTCAGATTTTGAATTTAAAATTAATCATTTATATTCATTCTCTGTTTTTGCCTAAATATGGTAATACTGAAATTTGCTGCTAGGATAGATTTAAAAATTGGTAGGAAAAAATTTTTTTTCTTATGTGACTGTATAGTTTAATGAAATATTTCTGTATTTCCCCCACAGAAATCAGAAACTGAGTTTTCACCCTGGTATGCCTTTCATTTCATCACAACAAATGTTCCCTTATGACTCTTCTCTTTGAAACATGCAGGTTATTTACATACCAGTGAATTGGTTTGTGCATAGGTGCAGGTACAATGTCCCTCTAGCTATAACCCCATGCTCTTTGTACATCTAGTTACCCATTTATTATTTTCTACAACAGTGAATTTAACAGTCTCTGGTAGGCACAATGATTAAGACATGGCTTTTGTGCTAAAGGAATTCACTTTCCAGATGGAAAGATAAACATTTACACTAAAAATAGTCATATAATATTAAATTTTCTGTATGTGGTGACCACGTAGACGTGATTAGGGAATGTTACTCAGAGTCTTGCCTCATTTATTTGCGTTATCATTATCCATATTGGCAATAATAAATACAAATACTGAGTATATAAGATGCCCTTTGCATATTTTCATTAATATATATTTCAAATTTAAAATAACACTACTATTTTCTTACAAATTTGCTAATAGACTATTAGAAAAGAAAAATACATTAAAATATAGCTTTAAATACAAGGCGTGCTTGTAACGATCTAGGCAGTTTTCTTTATTTTCAAAACCTCATATCACTTATACTAATTTAAATTTTTTTTAAAGGGCTATTGTCAACATGAAAAAAAGTACAGGATTTGGGGTTCTTTTTTCTTTATCCTTTGTTCAGATGGTTCTTGCTAAACATTCTCATGATCCAAGATTATTTGTTGCTGGAAAAGCTAATGTGATATTATAGGAAAAATATTGGACCAAAGCTTAAAAACTGGGTAAAATTCTCAGTTTAATATTTTACCACTAAACGATTCTGAATAATTCACTTAGTCAGTTTAGTTGAATGTTCTTATCTATACTGTAAGGAAAGTAATAAACATAATCCTATCTTTCTCAGAGACTCAAGGTAAACAGTAAATGTATCTAAAATGATAAAACTAGGAGAAAGTTTTCTAATTCACAAAATACAACAGGATTGGTCGTTACCTTCATTATAATTATTATTATATGGGAACGCCCATTCCCAATAGGTCTGCAAACTGATCATCTCCCTTTCTTGTATCTGCCTCTTTTCCTGTATTCCCCATGTTCTGGGGACATCACTCCTCTATTTACCTATTCGCCCAAACCAGAAACCTTGTAAGGCTTGTTTGTTTTTTGTTGTCATTCTGTTGTGTTTTGATTTATTTCTCCCTTTTATTCTGTAAACTGGTTCCACAATGGTATGTGGTTAAAATATTCCAATCATATACGTTCCTTGCAATTTATTGTATGAACCATGTTCTTCTCTGTGTCCGTGCTTTCCCAGAGAGCCTGTTTTTGCTGGAAATATCTCCCACCCTGAAGTGCAGCACATCACCTGGCTACTTCTTACTCAATCATTCTTGTCCATGAAGTTTTCCCTGATTCCAGTTGAGATAGGGATATTTCCTATTTTCTCTACCATATGAATTATTTCATTGTCCTGTGATTATTTACTCACCTGCCTATCTACTGGAGTGTGAAATACTTGAAGAGAGGACTGTGCCTTTTATTTTTATACTCATTCCTACCTAGAGCAATGCCAGGTATACGCTAAATGCTAAAGAAATATGAGTTGAATAAATGAATGAGTGGATGACTCTCTTTTCTGTTAATTAGGAATATCACACATTCACTTTAATGTCTATCATAATGGTCTTTTGTTGTGATTAACTGAAGTGACATCTTAATTATCCAAAATGATAAAATTATGCATAGCACAGTTTTAACATTAGTTATATTTCCTATTCTGTTTTAAAATGCTTATACATATTCTGCATAAATTATAATTTTTATAAATATTAAATGTAAATTATTATAATTACCCCAAATTCATAATAAATTAGAACACTCATTCCCAAACTAGACCAGATAACAGGATGATAAGGATAAAATTGTGAGAAAAATTAGGATTTCAAATGAATTTAAATATAGCAGCTAGGAAGGTGATCTGTCTACTTGCATCTTCTTTATTATTCCTACTAACTGCTATAGCCAAAGTAATATTGTGATAATTAGCATATTATTATTAAAATATGAAAAGGAATCCCAAATACCTTCTAAAAGTTTAGTTGCTTCATAACATTAGAGACATTAGACAGCCCAATGATTCTTCTTCTCCCTTAAACAAATCCTTGCTTTATCCTTTACTAAATATCAGGGCAAAACTCATACTTTTCAAGGAAATGGGTCAGTAGTATTGATATATTCAAAACATATGCAAGTCATAGGGGTAATCTGATATAGAAAAGTTCAATTACATTTTTATTAAATAATCTTATAATTTAAGCTGTCATTTTTGAAGCAGAATTACACAATATTTTTTACAGTTGTAGCATTTGCAGCCTGAAGCTCATCTCATAAGAGGTAAATTCCAGGTTGCCTATTGTCTCACTCTGGGGAAACAGAAAAACAGCATGAACAAAAAATGTGATTAAACTTTATCTATTAAAATAAGTGGCTTTAATTGTTTCATAAAAAGATTCACCTCCTATCTGCTTCTTTGGTTATAGTACAGCATATCCATATCATAATCCAAACATTATCCAAAAATAAAATCAAGGGAGTCATTTATAACATCTACAATAATTTAGTACTTGGATATTTTAATTTACACTTTTAATGGATGGGTTTATATTGATGATAACTTAAGGCTGCTTTCAGTTTATAGGCTAATAACTCTAATGTGGGAGAATAAAACTTAAACCTAGATTCACCTACATTCACCAGCCTAGGATATAGTTTTTTCTTCAATGGGAAATTCCACAAGACTGCTATTATCAAATTAATACTGCTTCTTTCATTTGAAAATGAAGCATCTAGAATGGCATGAAATGAGAAGCTAAGTCAGCTATATTGATTCTGAAGGAAAGAACAATAGTTTGGACACTCAAAAATAAATATTTTCTGATAAAATATTAAATGTCAAAGGAATTAAAATAGTCACATACTTATGAATGAGTACAGATGATAGCCAAATTTAGTACATCTAGCCATTATTTCTTGAAACATCTGTACAAACAGACTCTCTCGTGATTTTATTTGAGTTAAAACTGACACTTTTTTGAACCTTCTGTTGCTATGGTAAAGAAAATATCCTAAAAGGTAACGAAATGATTACATATATACTGAAAAGTTAAAATGTGCACATTACCTTGGAAACAGAAATACATTCACAATACAAATGTTTTTCTATTAGGTTCTGCATTTATCCAAATTAATGTTTAAAATTTAGCTACAAAATATACTATAACATTATCACTTTGCCAATTATAAACATGAGAGACCAAAAAACATAGATACATTAGCAAGAAGAAAATCTAATTGTTACATGTGGTATGATAAAAGCAGTGATTTGGTGAAACATATTTTATGAATGAAATTAATTTAGATAGAGGAATAATTAGACCACTAAAGTTGTCCTAACACTTACTACCATGAATATGTCCTATTTTAAAACATCCAACTTTCTTGAAATTTATTATTTTAACAAGTATGTAGGGAAGGTTGAACTTTACAAAGATCATTTCAGAATATGTAATCATTCTAAATTATAGTGCAAAAGAAAAAAGAAAAGAAAAGAAAAGAAAAGGCATGCATTCTCTACCTTTCAAAACAACATAATTGAAAGTGAATGATAATGGTCATAACCTATAGGAATTTAGCAAACATACACCAGACAGATTTGACACCTTAATATGCGTTCATCCCTCATCTGAAATCTCCAGCCTGCTGTCCTTGATGCTTACTTGACTTTTCTCCATTCTCACAATAGAATGCAAATGAAACACAGCTCTAAAACATGAACATTCCCTAATATCTGCACTTAATTTTTCTTCTTGAGGGCATTGATAATGCACCTTGTCATTTATTATCGATGGATACTGCTTACATCTCCTGCTATAAAGTGGTGCAGTAATTACATTATCCATATTTGTGACTACCACAAACACTGCAAAAGATGACCTAAGAGTTTGTTCTTCGTCTGCCTTCCCTCCAAGATTTAAAAACACTAAAACCAGTGAAATCCATATGTTTTATTCATTTCTGCAATACATTTTTTGGTCAGTTTTAAAGAGTTGTGTTTAAAACTTTTAAAAAACAGTTGCTGTAAAATCCAATTATTTTAACTTATGTTTTTCACGGTGATAGTCATTTTGCTGTTTTTGATTTTTCAGTAAGACTTTCTACACATTTATACTTTACATTGGGTTTCCATATTATTGATCTATAGAACTAGATTTACCACAGTGGACGTCATTCACAGTCTTAATCTTTAAGATTTTTAACATTTATTACAAACCCAGCTCGAGGATCTAAAGACAGGTCCCTGGGAAACTTCAGCCTTTTGCTAACGAGTATAGTAGGGTACAAGCCATTGAGTTTGGATACTTCAATGATCCTTTTTTCTGTGTCAGACCAATAGAGGTTTTTTCCAATCCAATCGACAGCGAGTGCATTGGGGACGGCTGTGTTATGCACTACCTAACAAAATAAGAATTTAAAAAGTTAACAGTGTAAATTCCTGGAATAAGAATTGAACAATTGCTTCTTGATTTTTACAGAGATATAGAATTCTATTTAAACATTAGGAATGGAATTTAGGTTAGAGAACAATTGACCATAATATAATATTACTTACTTGTCTGTGAGACATTACCTAATATGTAATCAGGCCCCCAGAAATTGCATATGGGTTTATGAAAAACAAACAAAAAGAAAAAACTGAATAAAAAGCTGTTGACCAACTGAGCAGCTGTTGATCACATTTTCACATTTTTGTTAGAGTTTATTTACTCATGCTCTTAAAATGCGGGACAAAATTCTATTTCACACACACAAACACACAAAGATTTGTTGATATTATTTCTCTTCAATAGATTCTAAGGAGATATCAATAGTGTTTACCACTCTCCCAACTGCTCTTGTCCTGTTTAAATGACTACAAGGACAGAAGAAAACACATATAAGAACATACAGAGAGTATTTTGAACCTACCCAAAGGGAAGTAACTCATACAACTGCTGTTATTAATTCTAACCCATGTTAATACCAAATATAATGAAAAGATGGGTTTTGCATGTATAAGTATGCATATAAAATGATTAAAAATTCTTGATCTGTGTTACTGGTATTTCTGAGTTCTCAGTGCTTTTAGAACTATATGGAAAAAACAGTTGAAACTTCAAGCTGTATAGAAGCCAGTAGTTACATAGTTAGAGACAAGAAAACATTAATGAAGTCTTAAAGTTATCATTTTTTCCTAATGTTAGCAATAATAAAGCTACAAATAAAGTGAATATATGAATATTTGCAACAATTAATAATATCAGTCTCCTGTCTTGAGTTGCAAGATATCTTTTCTCTTCTTCTCTTCATATTCCAAATTTGGAAAATAGGCATGGCTAACCATTCAAATAAAATCAGTGAATTAGTAATCTCAAGGGAAAAAAGATGTATTTTGCAATCTTATGTAATGACATGATTTACAGTAGCAATGAATAGATTGGAATGGAAAATATTAAAGTATTTTCAAAA